CTCAGAGCGAACACAGGACCACGTGCATAACAACATAACCTATATTCTAAGTATTGACAGTCTAGTCGTTTGGTATCTTTTAAAATAAACACTTTGTGAATAAACAATAACAATAAGCTCTGAAATTACAATTATTTTTTATAATGTTTTGACAAATTAAACATTGAAACTTGGATAACAGTTTTAGTGAATTTATATGGGATAAAGTATAAAAATGTGAAATATTGTCTAATTTAAAAATGTATAAGTGAACTATTTTAATACAAAATTACTGTTTACATTCCTGTATGCAAACGTGCATAAAAAATATAAAAGAACTCTTATTATTATATAAATTACTTATTTAAATCTAGGTCATGCGGTGCAATTGCAACGAATGGTTTGCATATTCTTTTTTATTTCATGTTATAAAATTATAAATACACGTATTTCAAAGATAGATATGAACCCAGATAACAATCGTGCGCCACACGTTCCGCACGTCATGTGCGGGACACAAAGTGATGGTCATAACGCATGTATTTCGTTTGCACTTTGCAATCACGTGTGAAGGCTATTTCAATGCAAGCTATCATTTCATTTACAAGTATTGAATTCAGGAATTATGACCAAGATACAAAAAAGTTTCAGTTTTTCGAAAAATAAAAGAAAGTAAAAAATTTTTTTTAAAGAAATTATATAAACAAAAAGATCATCAGGCCCACTCCAAAATTTATTACAAAATTTTCGTATTATTTTCATGTGTGTAAAAATAAAAAAACGAGCCCAAAAAAAAATTTTGAACGTCAAAAGTTAAAATTTGTATGCATACATATAAACATAACCTTAAATTTTTCGTTTGAAAAATTTTGCTTAAACACACTTTTATAATAATAATAATAATAATAATAGTAAAAAAAATAATAGTGTGAAATAAAAAGTATTAATTTATATTTACGCATTTTTATCTATTAAATAGATTTTTAAAAACTATAATTTAAAAATTAAATAAATATTTTAAATAGAAATTAAATGCCCTAAACATGCATTTCAACGTCACGCGTGCGACACATATGTGGATGCATCTGCGTGCTCGAATGATGTTACGCCGTATTGGTTAATCGGCACGCGTGCGAGCGAAATGTCCAGCAATGTGCATGTATTCTTGCTATCTAGAAATCTATGATGATAAAATAATTAACAATGCAATGACAGCAGAACTACAATTGCAAGTGATACAAACAGCTATTCAAAACATGTTACATTTTCCAACACCATATGGCATATCGACGAATGTCAGATCTAAATAAAAATCTAAAGGTACTCTCTCGCCATCTTATCTTATCTCACGTACTCCACCACGTTACCATGACAACGAGAAGGTGAGAGAGTACCTTTATACTCATGATAGCTTAAAATTGCAATGAATATTTCTATCAGTTTGTATATATAAAAAACTTTTTCTCATGTGAGAACTACACTAAAAAATATATAAAATAAGAAAGCATAAGATATTTCAAATTATTCATTACCCATAAAAATGTGCTTGCAGTGTCAAAAAATTGCATTTTCAATATTTTTTTAATTCACTATAAAAAGAAAACCTCACTTGAGAAAACTCTCTAATATGGCTTCAGTAAAACTTAAATTTAAAAATTTAAAGTTTAGATCTGAAAATCTTAGTGGAAGTTGATTTGTCAAGTTAAACTAGTAGTTCAAAATTACAAGTAACTCTCAAATAACAAATTTGAAATGAATCCGATAAATTTTAAAAGAAATTTCGTTCGCCATATTGGATCAACCACTTTGTATTTTCTAGATCTATCTTCAGCAGTGGGATTACTAATAGCGCTAGTCGCTATGTAGCGCTTTTTGTTATTTAGAATTAAAAACTTACATATTTTTAGTGAAATTTGTTCCAAATCATGGCCAAAATAAAATACCGTTGACAATTTCTTCAAACCTTAAACTGCAAGATGGTAATTTAGAAGAAACTATAAACATAACCCCTCTAAATAAGGACATTGACATAGAATTCATGTCAATTTCCTAAAACATTTTATCTACGTAGCAAACAAATACAACATGAAGGTGGAATCAATTCTCTAACTTCATGTTTGCCAACTGTTACTTTCAAATAAAATAATCAACTAGTGACGAAATAAATTATACTTTAATATTGCAAATAACCTATTAATTTAATAAATAACAACTTGAAAAATAAATTATCTAGTTTAATGTTAAAATAATTTATAAAGGAAATACATTTTTTTAATTTAATTTAATAAATAAAAATTAAGAAAATTAATCTTATTGCAAGAATTAAAAATAATAATTGCATGAGATTTAAAATTAGGATATTCTTTACCAGCCTAAATTTAAAAATTGATAAATTTCTTAAATTAAATTAATTATTTTTTAATTTTTTAATTAAATTAATTTAAATTTTCATTTTTAGAAAAACTCTTTAACTCACAAAAAATGCGCTAAACATTTTTTTAGTGAACCTTTGCGTGAGAACAAAAATTCTATTTCTGAGGTTATATCTTCAAAATTTTTTTAATTAAATTTTTTTTCCATTTTAGACAATGTCTAATAGAAACTTTTAATCTTATGTAAAAGATAATAAATATAAATTCAATAAATATTTAATTATTAATATAAAAAAGAAAAGTAAATAGTTTATTATTATTGGATAAAGTTGAATTATTTTCTTGATTTTTTGTAAGGATAGAAATTGGAAATAAAAGTGTTAATATAATAATATTAATAATTATCATTGCCTCGAATTGCCGTTTTATAACTTTTGAGATTTGAAGTGTTACACTTGAAAAATTTGTCAGTCTTTTAGATACTTCTTTAAATTGCTTCATTTCTTCATCGTGGGAAATCCTTATGAATTTGATACATTCTTGATTCCAAAAAAAAATTGTTAAATTATAAAATAAAGCAAATATGAGAAAAAAAATACACAGAAAAACAATTGTACCAACCTAAATTTATCAAAATGATACTATTTTTTTAGTCACCCGATAGCTAGAAAATTTTTTAAAGTGAATGTAGCTTTGAATCGGTACGTAGCGAAATCTTCGTAGCGCTGTCGCTATTTGTAATCCCACTCCAGGTTCGTAATTTGCAATCACAGAAACCCCCGAAACACTTCAACCTTTTTTGTAACCTAGTGTTATGAACAACTAATTGCTCGTCGCTATTCCTTCAGAAACTGATTGGGGTTTTCACTTTCGGACCAGTTTAACTAAAAAACAAGTATTTGATTACTTCACCCAACAGTATATTTATAATATTTAAAGTGTATTAAATTCAGTTTACAAGTTTTTTTTACATAATATCTGCTCACATCACATGACGTCATGTCATATATAACACTTTGTCGATATTCGAAAATAAAACAATTCGACTCTTAGGTCGATTAAGGTATTACCGAATTCGTCACTTGTGACACCCAACTTTTATACATTGTTTTTATAAATATTTTTTACATATATACATGAAAAGTTGTAACGTTTTTTTACCTTCAAAAAGTTTCATCTAGTGTTGCAATTCAGCTATGAAAAACGAGTAATATATGAAAAGAGTTCGAGTCCTGTTTTACATAATTCTTATTTTGTTTAATCCCTATAAGAAAGCCGTCATTATAATTTAAAGACTGTAAAAAGTTGATAAATAAATATATTTCTCCTTTAATAAAAATAAGATATTATGATGATTAAAAACCAATAAATTAATAGTCTAAGATTACAGAAAATGAGATATTTCAAGAAAGTTGTCCTATGCAAAAAATTATTTTTCTTTAGGCGTATGCTACAAAGAAGGTCAATGTATTGAATGATATACTAAGTTAATATTTCTGTTTCGATAAAAACATCCCCCTTCTACATAAATCGGTATATCTTACATATATAACGCAAAATATTATTTTATTAGAGGGGCGAAATTCCTGAAGTGATCCAATTGCCAAAATGTGAGTACATATTACATTTTTTGAAAAATCATAACTATTGTATAAAAGGATGAAAATTTTTTTGACCTATATGATTTCAAAAGATTTTTTCTGCTCTTTCGAATGGTGAAAAAAAAATTTCAATAAATTCAAAATTTGACTATTTTTTGACTTTTTTTAAGATCGTTCTTTTTTTAAAAGTTAAAAATGTGTATTTTCAATACAAAAATTATTGAGTTGTCCTTTTTGGTTATTTTTGAGATATTAATTAATTATTTAATGGTAATAAAAAATGAAATATTTTGCAAATAAATAAAATTGCAATTCTGAAGCTACCAATTGAGGAGCTGGATCGAAGTACCGACTCTTCGCTCGTACCGCACCCACACAGCATCAAAAATTACTCGAAGATTCATTGAATGTTTAAAGTTTAACTTAGGAGTATTAAATCGCCGGGTCCAGAAAAGATTATTAAAATATTAAAATGTCCGCATGTGAGCAAATGTTTAACGCGAAAGTTGACTGAATATGTAAATTACATTTTCGTTAAAGGTTCAAAATGAAAGATGACTTAATATATGAATTGAAGTTTCGTTTTTATACTGAGCAAAAATATTTTTTTTAATAAATTCAATTACCGTTTAAATAATAGTCGTCACATATAAAAAAGGATAAAATAATATAATTATTGTAAGTAGAGAAAATAAATTAAGAAAATATTTTATTATTATTATTAATATTACTATCATGTTGAACCTTTAAAAGCTGACACAATTCCAGATCCAACGAGCCCAATATGATATATTTTGGATTAGAAGTTTATTCATAAACAAGTGTATTGTTAGCCAATTGTTTATCAAAAATCCTCTAATCCAAAATACTTCATATATAGCTCGTTGGATGCGGAATTATGTCAACTTTCATTTGGTAACGTCACAATTACAATAACTTTTTGTGTTTATAAAATATTTAATTTTTTATTACTATTAAATAATTATTTAATTAATATCTCAAAAAGAATAAAAAAGGACATCTCAATATTTTTTGTAGTGAAAATACACACATTTAACTAAAAGAAGACCGATCTTAAAAAAAAGTAAACAAATTTTTATTTTCAAAAAAGGGTAAAATTTTGAATTTTTTGAAATTTTTTGTGCACCATTCGAAAGAGCAGGAAAAACCTTTCAAAAACATATAGGTCAAATTTTTTTCATTTTTCTGTTTAAAGTACTCACCTATAAGGCTAAACTATGTGTAAGTAACAGCCCGATCTGACAAACTTTTTTTACTTAATACGCTACAGGAATTTTACCCCTTGAATAAAAGTGTAACTCAATAACTTTTTTGAACATTATTGACAGATATCGCACAGTTCAAAAAACAGCTATTCCCACTATTATTAATATAAAATTCAAAAATAGCTACACATTTTCCCTTGGTATGAGTCACGTATAATATGTGGCAATATCAAAACTGCAGTGCGATGGGCAAATAGAATTGCAAGATAATTAAAATAAATCCAGTATTTAAGAACAAACTGTATTATAATTTCTTAAAATGTAGATATAATATATTTGTTTATATTTAAAACAATTAATTATATTTTTTTATAAAAATAACTGTTATCAAGGTTGCTCGCGCATTGGTTGCATCAGCTGTTAATAACATAGCTCTATTACTCTAACTGCAATACACTATATTTTTCAAAATATCACTGCTTTTTTATAAAATTTTGTATTATTTACAAATATTTACATCCCAAATTATACAATATTTTTTGAAAACATAATTTTTTATTTTACGCAATAAAATACCCTACAAAGCACAGTATATTACAACGAGTTTAGAAAGCTTACATTTAAGAATTGCAAGGTAACATCGTAAACTGTCAGTAGAAATACTGTTAAGGGCCTATACCAGTGTAATCCATGAAAAATTAGGCGACGTGTGTGAATTTCTTTAAAAGAAAGTACTGGATAAAATGTTTTGAAGTTTTTTGGACATAATAAGGTTTATTTTGAGCTATATTTTAAGATTTTTTTTACGAAAATATTGAAAAATAACGGAGTTATGTGCTGTCTTCGGAGGTGGCAAAAGAAATGTTCCCCAACTGCTGACATGATTCCGACCGAATGAGTAGCTGAAACTAAGAAATTCAAAAAGGTTCTTAACGTTGAAGGTATTTGCTATACAATGACCTACGATTTTTGAGAAATATCAAAAATTAACAAAATGGCGTAATTCTGAAAAAACAGTCGTTTTTTTGGGTAAAAAATGGTCGTTTTTTAATGCCAAATTGACAATTTTCAACCAATCAAAAAGATCATAGGACATTGTATAGTAAATATATTCAAGATATATAAACTACGTTACCTATTTTAGGAGGAAGGGGGTCTAAAAAGAATGAAAAATTGGTAACGTAGTTTACGGACGGCCCCTTAGAACGCTGTCATTCAAAAACTATTTAAGATATGACCTTGCCTCTTTCACAGGATATTTTTGAAAGTATAAACTATTGAATAAGCCGAAAAATCGATTTTTTGAAAGTGTCCCACTGGTACAGCCTCATAGCTTAAAATGTCCGCTTCACTGTAAACATACATGTATAGTCGTCGTAAACTTGCATGGCTAGGTTGGGGTAAGCTTACATGGTAAGGCCGTGACAAGCTAACGAGGTAAGCAAACTGTAAGAAGTAAGCTTGTTACTGTAAGCTTAACTTGTTAAGTTATCGCAACTCTACATGTATGCTTTCTGTAAACTCGATGTATTATACTGTGCTGTGTGAGACGATTTCGACACTTCGTCATTTATTTTAATAAGATCTACCACTAACAGCAACCGAATATTCAATAAGTCCTATGGACCAAATGATATCTCTAGGACGTTCATAGGATACCTTAAAATATCCGATACTGTGAGGGTCACAACTACGGCCTGCTCCCCAAAGACTGTCATATTGCTTGTCATGGAAGAGTCAAAACTTGAAAAAAAAACTTCAGATCGAATGCAACACTAGTATCATTTCAGGTTAAAATATAATCTAAAATTTATCCGAGTTGCCATAAAAGCTTTACATATCTTCGAATTTCGCTCTTTCTCTTCTCCTAATTGATGTTGCAAAACGGCATGAAAGGCTGATTCCAAAAAGCTGAAAGCATTATATACACATTAGTGACAAAATCTTATTATCTTTTTTTGATGAAAGGTTTGTAAATAGTTTAAATTAATTTAATATTTTCAAGCTTCCTCCCTCTACTGTATAACTTTATATTAACTAAATTAAAATTTAATCATCATTATGATTTACATTCATAATTATGCTATAAAAAATTTGCTCGCTCCCCCTTCGGGAGCGCTCCGAATGTTATACTGACACTACATTATCTGTAAAGACGTGAACGTGCTAAGATCACAATGTTCGGCCCTCTCCAGAATGGAGCTAAATGCAACGCAGACGCGACGCATCGCAATGCTAAGCAAATGGGGATGCGTCGCGTCTGCGTTTAGCTCCATTCTGGAGAGGGCCTAAGCAGCGTCTACAATAAGCGCGTCGGACGTGGTCGCGAACGGGTACCTAATGAGAGAGAGGGTTATAGATGTATATCTCCGTACCCCTCTCTCTCATTAGGTACACGTTCGCATGTACAATTAGACGCTGCTTTATACAATGTTATATGTTCACGTACACGTTTGCGCAGCCAATGTAGACGCACAATCAGCATTATGCTCATTCTACATTTACCGAATTTCTCCGCTTTTCTGTTACATTTTTTAGATATATCCAAAAAATTTCATTTTTTTTTAAATTTTTGATCTTATATGGTATTTTATATGAAATCGTATATGGACACTTATGGGATTTATTTCATGAGCTTCTATATAAAATTCTATGCAAGATCTCATATGGAAAACCATGTATGTGATTTTATGTCATCCCATATGAGAAGAAAAATTACGGTAAAGTTGATTGGAAATCGGCAACAGGTTTGCGTATGGAAACGAATTATATTATAAGAGGCATTTCATATGAGAACGGCATATGATTTCTCAGATTTTCCTTAACTTTTGGGTTTTGAGAGACATTTTGGTGTTAAATAAGTATGTAAAATTTGAATTAAATTTTTTTAATATTTTTAGAGATATTTGCATTAAAAAATTGTTGTAACATTTTTTTCTTTTTCTTATAACTTTTGTTCTTTTGATCCTACAAAAAAAAGATCTAAATATTTTTTACTCTAAATATGTTAAATTTTATGAAAAAAATTATTGCAATAAAAAATTATTAAATTTCATTTAATTCATTTAAAAAATAAAATTTTATTTTACGGTTTAATCATGTTCTCCCTGTTTCTCAACCCTGAAAAAAATCATGAATTAAGTTGATAATGTAATAAAGACTTCCTGAAATTGTTAGCTTGGCGTTATTTTTTGTTTTAAAGAAAAAAATCTTTAAATATTGAAATGCATGCGTTAAACGCGCAAAATAATCATTGTACAGGGGCCCATTGAGAACTCGCACCGCATGTGATCCTCGCGCCGGCGCTCTAAATGGTGGGCCTCTCCTACAATGATCGTTTTGAGCGTTTAACCCATGCATTTCAATATTTAAAGATTTTTTTCTTTAAAACAAAAAATAACGCCAAGCAAAAATTTCAGGAAGTCTTTATTACATTATCAACTTAATTCATGATTTTTTTCAGGGTTGAGAAACAGGGAACAATGAATTTGTTGAATTAAATTTGACATTGACGTTAAAATGAATTTGATTTTGACGTCAAATCAAATTACATAATCGACACCCAGTATTAAGTAATTGTCACTTCTATAGATAAAATTATAAAAAGCATTACTAGAAGGCAGAAAAGTTTTAACCTTAGATAATTTAAAATAATTAAAATGATTTACCTCTACTATAGCGATAAGAATTCCAATGCAAATGAGAACAATCGCTTCAATTTTAACTCGATTATCCAGTGCACTAAAGCATCCCATATCATGAATCTTGGAAATGACGAGAGTAGAACAAGATTCACCTGCATTGAGTCCCATACAACAGGTGAGGGGAAACGTTTTGTTGTTACGGAACTTTTCTATGACATACCAGTCTTTGAAATCGAATCGTCCACAGCATTGCAACTAATAAAATTTAACATATAAATATTTAGTCATTAGTATTTTACTTATGGGTCATTAAATAAATAAATAAATAAAGAAAAAGATTGTTTTAAAAATTCTTCTTTTTATTTAAATCACAAAAAGATTCTAACGGCAAAGTAAATATGTATTTTGACATTTAGGGATTTTTCTTCAGCGAATTTAAGTAAAAATTTAATTAAACGGAAAAAATATCAAAAAATCGAACACATTTTTTTAAATTAACCATAACTTTTTATCATTAACCTAAAAATTAATTTTTATTTCAGATTCTGAAAGAGGGGACTCAAGTACGTCAGAAATACCTTATGGAAAACATGGAAGAAAAATCTAAATTCGCTAGAACTTGAAGAGTAGAATGTGGTTCATTTTGAAATCAATCAATACAGAGCCAATCATGAAGGACTATCTTGTAATATGGAAGTTTCATCAATCGTTGCAATAATTAAACGGTCGTATACAAAACTTGGCCTAAGGTAAAACATCTGCCAATACTCTTTCAAGATTCAAGCATGATTCTATACTCTACTGCCAAGTGATGTTTTATCAGCTATTAGCTCATTTATAAAGATGAGTGTACGGATGACCTTCTTGAGCGGTATATTGGTGATTTTACAAAAAACAATAACGAGAGTCTTAACAAGTTGATTTGGAAAATTACTCCAAAAATACTTTCTGCTCACTTGAAAATAGTTGAAATAGCTTTATTAATAGCTTTTTGTATTTTTAACGAAGAAACTTCAGCTCTATTAATATTTTTATACGCAATGGATATCAAATTCGGACAAGATAGTTCCCAGAATGTGCAAAAATAAGATAAAAATCGTATTGTTACAACAGAGACAAAAGCTAAGGCTTAACCTCGAAAGGAAAGAATTCGACTCAGGCTGGAACAAAGAGATGTTTTAGACATTGCGGTTACAATAGGAATGCTTTATGCGGCTGGAATTGACGATTCAATGTCGTGACCGAAAGACGTCTAAAAGACATTCAAAAAAGATGTCTAAAAGTTTTGTACGTCTTTAGGAGTTAAATATATTTACTTCAGAATATTTTCGAAGTTTTTTTCTCTAAGTTTAACACATTAATTATTATCTTATTTAAATTTTGACTTTTTTTGTTTTATTTCTACACGCTTATACAGAAATCAGGAATGAAAAAATCCTCCCGGACCTGGGATCGAAACCGCGATACGTTGGATTCAAACTCTACGCCTTATGGCGCACTCACACCTTTTTGGCTGCCTGCCTATCTGCAGGTTACTATGGCAACGCACGGGTGAGAGTGAGAAAGAAAATTTGAATATAACCTGCAGGCAGCCAAAAAGGTGTGAGAGCGCCTTTAAGCGTGTGAGCCATCGGAGACTGATTAATTCCTTTACAAAGTTTACGAACTTATTTGTCAATGAAATGAATCAAACTTAAAAAGTTTCTATAAGATTTATCTTAAACAGTTTCGATCTTTCCGTTGAACTCAGAGAATAGAATATAAAAGTTATTTTTATGAAAAATGTTCTATTTTCAAAATCTGAAAAAGACGTCTATTATACATGATAAAGACTTCTTTATGAACAGAGATAGAACCTTTTTTGGACGTACCTCAGACGTATTATTTACGTTTTTAAGATATACCATACGAGGAAAACTTAAAGACGTCCGGAAAAAGACATCCTCAGGACGTCTTTTAAGCAAGTATGCCCACTGGGTTCAATTCATCTGAATTAGTTTTTTTTACTGGGTAAATATTAAAAAGTTCTAAACCGATGATATAGATCGGACGGTGGAGCGCATTGGCTTGCGATCACCGGGGTGCAGCACAGCTAAGTACAGTCAGTACTTGGATGGATGACCGCCTCGGTGTTCGCTATAGCCCTGGTGTTTTTACTGTGATCGAGATATATCAAGCGGGAGGTTTGACGTCCAGGATGTGTTTGTACATTTGTGATGATTATCCAAACATACATTCACAACTCGATTGTCAATAAACCGGCTGTGCTCCAGAGAGGTTTTCTGTAGTTTTCCTTTCCCTTTGCCTCTGGCCAAAAGTCCAGGCAAATGCGAGTGGTTCTAATAAAAGTCGGTCTACAGCCGCAAAATTTAGAATTTGTGAGTTGCCTTTGTAAGGCATATTAATAATGTTGTGAGGGAAGTGTAAAGAGACCCCTGAGGGGTATACAATGAAATCAATATTATCATTATTATTATTATTATTAAAAATTCCTATGTTTAATAGTTAAAAACATTTTAACCATCAAACTTTACAAACTTTCAGGGCAGTGTAACCCACTAATTTTTGATAGGTAGTACATTTTGAAAAAATTTTGAAAAAACGTTGTTCTTTGGATCCTGCCATTGAACAAAAAAGTTCCAAATTTCTACTTGTCGGACGAAGTTAGTCGTATTCTATCTGGTATAAAAAATTTTAAATTCTTCAAAAAAGATGGAGTTCGGTACCAAGAACAAAAAAGATTATTGACAGGAAATATCCATACATTGCACGAAGAGTTTGAAAAAAATTACAAGATTTAAAAATATCTTTATCAATGTTTAGAAAACTTCGACCAGCGCAGTGTATCTTTGCGAGTCCAAAAGAAACACACAATCTGTGTGTGTGTAAAATTCACGAAAATGTACGTCTTAAATTTGCGGGTATTAAAAAAAATTAAACGGGACGGAAATAGAGTTAAATTATCATGATTGCTTGAAGAAAATGGTTTGTTGAAATCCGGAGTTCGATTGTTATTTACTACAATGTCCGAACTGTCTTGGAATTGAAGAAAGTTCCGAAAATATGAGATTAATTTTTCAGAATAATTATATTTTGTCTATAAGGTTTGATCAATGGGAAAGTCACGGTATACGCGGGCAGTGTGCAATGTGTTCAGGCGCGTTGCACGGGGTGAGAGCACGCATTCAAAAAAATTCATTGTTATTAAACTATTCCAAGTTACCGTTTTTTTAAAATTAATCCTCTATAAATTCTCTTCAAGTCTATGTTTATGAAATTGAAAATAATCATCCAGAACACGTTTATTTTTTAATTTGTTTATAAAAAAAAGTTTTTTTTTAACAAATGAACAGTTTAAAAATTGTAAAAATTATTTTCAGAAAGTTTGGAATTTCATAAGTTATTTAAAAAAAAGAAAGTAAAATTTCGTCAATATTTGTAAAAAATTATGCAATTTTGAAAAATGTTATGCATAAAATTTTAATTGTTTATAAAAAATAAACAAATAGATATTTTTCAATAAAATTTAGGGGATGTTTGTAAATATATTGGAACTATATTTTTGTGAAGTTTCGATAAAAAATTCCGACCCTTGACAAATAGGGGGTCACTTCAGGAATTCTCACCCGTAATTACTGTAAATAAGTAAAAATCATTTAAAACATAAACACCTTCTCTTGAATAACATCCCATGCTTTCACGTCAACCTCTTTGTAGTCATACATTGATGTGGTGAATTTCTGACTCATTATGTCGCTGAAGTTTTTTCTGTAAGACCACGCTGTAACTCCTACTGCCAACTCCATTATGAATATCATCAGCAATCCAATGCAAAACTAAGAATTAAAATAAAAATGATTATATAAAGCAGTGTTTAATTTGGAGATTCATTTAAATTGTTATGTACGAACATCAAGAGCTTATAGAGAATAAGCTTACAGAAAGCCCATAGAATGCTCGCTTTGTGTTAAAACCCAGCCACAAAAAAAGTTTCAGGTTGTGATGTTACTTCTCTTAAATCATAGCCTTAGTGGAGCTGTATTCAACCACAAAAATAATTTTTCTCAATACCGACGGTTTACCAAGATCCCCAATTAAAATTTCGCATATAAGATCTTACATGGGATTTTATATCGATTCCTATCTAGAAATCGTTTTGAAATTCCAGGTTGATTGAAGGAATTTATAAATCCATAAAGAAAACAGTATGTGAAATAAGGACACGATTTTTATTCCGAATCAGGGACCTTCACGAAATCGAAACAAAATTCAGAAACACTTTTGTTCTGATTCTGGTCAGGATATCGGAATCAGCAGCCAAGTTTATTAAGTTTTGTTTCCGAAATCAGAATCAAAAGTCAACTCTATTCAGTTTTGATTCCGAAATCAGAATCAAAAATCAACTCTGTTTAGTTTTGATTCCGAAAGCAGAATCAAAAGTCAACATTATACTTTCGTTTCGATTTACCAAACCGAATCAAAAGTATATTCTACATTCGTTTTGTTTACCAAACCCATGTAGGATCCTGTTTGGTAATGGCATAATCGGTAGGATCGACACTTTTTCACTTTTTAATATGAAAAAGAAAATGATTTATTTTTTGCGTTTCAGATAAGCTCATGAAACCTCATGAGACTCGGCACATCACTTGAATAATAAAAAAAAAGAAATTATTGAATTAATCTTCAATTTAACAAGTTTATTTAATTCAATAAAGTACAAATTTTCACTCTCGTTTACACTCACACATTAATTTTAAACATTTAGTTTGCACCGAATATGTTAAGCGTTTCGGCGCGTGCAAAAGAAACATGTTGATCAGTTTCCTTCAAAACGAAGACTGAAGGGAAAATTTATTCCTTCGTAAACGCGTGATTTTATTTTCGGTATAATTCGTCATAATTCGGGAATTAACGAGTAATGGAATTAATACAGCTATTGCTACCGCGGAACCGAGAGAAATTTAATCTTATTCTTATACAAAACCGCCTGCCTTGAAATAACTATTTCAATGTGTACAGAATCATACTTTCGAAGACATTTCAGTAGCATTCTCGCATACGCAAAAAATAAACAAATTGATTAATACAAGAAAAGTGATTATCGATACAATGAAAATGAGATTGTTTTAAAAAATTCGTAGAACTCGAGTACATTTTTAATAAATCGGAGAAAGTGAATATTTCTCGTTTCATATCAACAATTGGTTTTTTTATCATCAAGGTCAACAGGCAACAAAACAAGCTCTGTGATGGGTCGCACATATTCGAATTTAAATGTTTTGACTTTGACAACTCGAACGATATTATCGTTGCCTGGAAAACATTAAATAATTCTTGCAAGATTTCATTTTGTCGGAGGCAATTCTGGTTTGCGCAGTAAAACCATTTGACCGACCTTGAGTTGATCATTCGAAATTCGCCACTTTCTTCTATGTTGCATGATTGAAGGTAATCGTTTGTCCATTGTTTCCAAAAACCTTCAAACATTTGCTGCACTTGTTGCCATCGTGTCAATCGATTTTCATTTAGATTTAACAAAGATTCTTGTGGTACCGCGTTAATTGGACCGCCAATGAGAAAATGGCCCGGTGTTAGATGATCGCGATCGTCAATGCTGTCAGTGTAAGGGGCAATCGGTCTTGAGTTCAGTACTAATTCGATTTGACACAAAAGAGTTTGCAGTTCTTCATAGGTGGGAGTTTTGCCTAAGAGAATTCGCTTGAGATGTGTTTTCACGCTTTTAACCCCAGCTTCCTCCAAAATGAGGAGCAGCTGGGGGTATAAAGTGCCACGTGACACTGTCCTTGGCCAACAGGGCCTGGAAATCGGGGAAATCCAGTCCACAATGAGAAAAGGCTCGTTCCGGTTTTGTTACTCACGAATGGGGTAAATTTGACATGAGCTGAGTCGCTAAAGATGCACGAATTTTCGCGCATAATAGACACTTCAACAGGACCGATTTAATTTGAGGTCTAGGATTTATTATCCACACGTTTTGTCTAAGCGTACTTAGGGTAAGTTTCATTCCGCCATGCAAACATTTATCATGAATTGATCTTATCAGGGCTGTAACCAAGGGATGTTTTTTCAAAATGACGGGATGTTTTGCTTCGAAAGGTAAATTCGAGTTCTCTAGTCGACCACCGACACGAATCACGCCTTGCTTGTCAAGAAATGGATTCAGAGAATGCAATTGACTTTTTGCCGAAACGCGTTTCTCTTGATTCAAAGTTTTAATTTCTGAGGAAAACAATTGAGCTTGTAGTAATTTGTACAAAACAATTTTTGCATTCGATAAATCCTGAGCAGTCAATTGCTTAATCGGTTCAGTTTTAGCTACAGATTGGCAATTTTTTCTTAGATCGCAGATTTTGTTTTGAAAAGAATTCTTTTTTCGCATAGTATTGATAAAGAGACTGACAAATTTTATGACGTATGAAACGACTCGAACCGTTTTTTCCCATGATGAAAACCTTATCGTTAGATTGTAAAGAGGGTGATTTGTTGGATCATTAACGAGATGACAGACTGGTTTAAGTTCGACTGACGATTCCTCGTCAGATGGCGAGATTTGACTCGGCCATTGATCGGGCTGATTCATTAACCATTTGGGTCCATTCCACCATAAAGTAGATTCGTGCAATTTTAAGGGGAGCAGGCCGCGAGAAGCGAGATCGGCAGGATTGCTTTCAGTCGGAACATGTTTCCATTTTAATGATGGTAAAAGTGACTGGCTCAGCTCAGCAAGGCCAATACGACCTTGGAATCTGTCCAACACTGTATTGGAATTTCGGTAAAAGCTCTGACACTTTTTAGTGAAGTGATAAGTCGAGCTGCTTGCAGTTCTAACCTTGGGGTTGTAAGTTTTTTAATTGGACATACCTTTGTTTTGCTTGTGATCAACGAAACGAATGTTTCGCCAGATTTTGTGACAGTTCGTAGGTAAATGACTGCACCGTATGCAAGGTCAGATGCGTCCGCAAATCCATGTAGTTCGGAACTTGAACTGTTAGGATCATGATTATTCCATCGAGAAATTGAGATTTTTGAAAGATCGTTCAATGATAAAAAATAAGTTAACCATTCGTTTTGAAGTTGAGTGGGCAATGGTTCATCCCAAGTTGCTTTGCTTAGTCAAGATTTTTGCATAAGAATTTTACCAACGACTAATACTGGAGAAATCCACCCGACGGGATCAAATAATTGAGCCAAGAGAGATAACGCTTGTCGATGAGTCAAGGTTTCTGGAAGTTCAAGGTTCACGTTAAAATGAAAGGTATCGGTATCAAATTTCCATGAAATTCCAAGAACTTTGATTGCCTGTTTTTGTGAGTCTGAAGAGCCCCATGCAAGACCATGATTTGATGGATCAACATCTGCAATCAGGGATGGTTCATTGCTTGCCCATTTTCGCGCCTCTAATTTAGCCTTTTTTAAAAGTGATACAACTTCCTCTTGCTTTAACCTTGCAATTTTTTTATCGTGAGCTCTGAATGAAAAATCATCAATGAACGTGTCGAACAAGAGAACGAGAGATGCGAGTAGGAAATCTGATCCTTCATCAGCTACGAGTTGTCTCATGACTCTTAATGCGAGGTATGGAGCGGAGCGTGTACCATAAGATACGGTTGCTAATTGATATACGGAAACCGGAACATCGAGAGAAGGTCTGCATAGAACGCGTTGATAATTTCTTTGAATCGGATCGATGAGAATCTGACGATACATTTTTGTGATATCAGCTGAATAAACGAAGGGATAAGTTCGCCATTGAGAAAGAATAATGGAAAGATCAGGTTGGAGCTTGGGACCAATCAACATGTGATCATTGAGAGAGGTACCATTTGCTGTTTTACTTGAAGCGTGAAAAACGACTCTTAATTTTGTGGTTTGACTGTGCTCGCGAATAATAGGATGATGAGGAAGATAGACGCAAAGATGTGGAAGTAGATGTGGATTTGGAGAGGGAATCATGTGTTCTGGACATTCGTAGTCTGACATGAATGAATTGTATTCCCTTTTATGCTCTGGATATTTTTCAAGTCGAGTTTCAATGCGTTTAAGAGATCGTTCCGCAATATAACGAGATTCACCAATGTCGAGAGTTTCAGAATCAAAGGGGTATTGAACAATGTATTGACCTTCACTTGTTCGTTTATGTGTTGACATAAAATGTAATTCACAAAATTCATCTTGCGGAGAGACCGGTGTTTCTGTCTTGACATTTTCGACTTCCCAAAATTTTGTCAATGGGGAATTTAATTGATCGAATGAAGCACAATGGAGAACAGAGACAGTATTTAAATTCGAAGGAACACTGGTTGCAATCGGACCAGACAAAACCCAGTCAAAGACAGTGTTTTGTGCCACTGGCTCATTAATCCCCTCTTTTCGAATTTCATTTAAAATTAACGCGCCGTATAAATCTGCTCCAATGAGCAAGTTTATTTCCTCATTACTTGTAATGTAGTCGGAAAATTCAAGATTGTTTAAATGAGGCCACTTCTCAAGCGAAATGTTCCTCTCAGGGGTGTATTTTGTGATTTGAGGAATGACTAATGCTTGGGTTGTAAACATGGGATTCTCGGCTTGAATGGGACAAAGATTAAGTTCAACTACAGACGTAGCTGTACCGGCCGAGGTGCCACCCAGCCCCGACAGCGATGCAAATACTCGAGTTTTTCTGATACCTAATAAATTCGCTGCTTTGTTTGAAAAAATGTTCAAGTCGACCCTGGGTCAAGCAAAGCTCTAATTGAAATTTTTCGATGAGAATGTGATAAGACACACAATTTAATTGTAGCAAGCATAACTCGTTTTTCTTTCAAAGTCC